AGACCAATGTGATTGGGCCCATGGTGGTGAGCCAGGTAAGGCCATTCAGGGGCCCCTTCCTCACAGGAGTAGCTCGCCATGTTGCAGAGCCCGACCCTTTGGAGAGTGGGGGCCACACAGCCCTGCTTCATGGTGATGGGGTGACGCTCTCCTGCACCAGGCAAAGGGGTCAAGCCTGAAATGCTGGTCAGGAGACAGAAACTCCACTGGTGCAGCTTCGCCATTTCGTGGAAAATGTTGAAGACAAAAAAAGAAGTTCCTCCTGTTCATTGTCTACCTGTGAGAAACACGGGCAGCACCAGCAAGTAATTTTATATTTAAAAGGTTCTTTATTCCAATCAAAACCAGCTGCCATGGTCATCATGCACAGCAAATATATTCATCTAGATGTTTGCACTGAAAAACATCATAGCACAAAATATTCTATTTCATTCTGTTTTGTACATGGTTATCTTAACCTACACATCTGCTGTCAAAACATCTTGCTCCAGGCTTATCTTTGCACATTCTGACCTTCTTAACAGAAGTTTGTTTTATACAGTAAAACCTTGGATTGCAAACATAATTTGTTCCAGAAACATGCTTGTAATCCAAAGCACTTGTATATCAAAGCAAATTTCCCCAAAAGGTTCAATGTAAATAAGGTTAATCTGTTCTGTAACTTTTTTTTTTTTTTTAAATCACAAAAATTTGAAGTGGACACGCTTGGGTGGGGGGCGGGGGAGATGATGCTGTTCTCACACCTGCAGAGAGAGGGAGAAGAACCAGCGCTCAGTTGTGACGTGATGCAATGCTCTACAGGCAAAGTGCATGTAATACTCATACTGCAAGACATTGCTTGTTTATCCAGTTAAATTTAGAAAAACATTTTGCTTGTCTTGCAAAACACTCGCAGACCAAGTTACTTGCAATCCAAAGCTTTACTGTATTTTCAACCCTCTTACATCTCTCCCACCAAACTCTAAATAACTGACCTTTGCCTGTGAATCCAGAATTTATTTGGAGAATTGCAGTGAGTTCAAGCAAACGCTGGCACACTGAGGGTTGGCACTGCTGGACCATCTTTTCCCTTCTTACTTGGCCCCACACTGGTGGAGAGAAGCCCCGTCCTCTCTCCAGAACCACTCGATTCTTCCTGCTTCTCCAGGTGTTCCTGCCCTTGCTGAGGAAGGCAGCCCAGGAAAGCCCCTGGAAAGGGATGATCTGCAGCAAAGCGGCCATCATCAATATGTCCAGTGAAGGCGGCTCAATCACAGATCTCTTGTTACAGGATCTTGGACAAGGGATCAGTTACCATTGCAGCAAGGTGTGGAATGTCACTGGTTCAATGCTGAAGGATCGGCTCTAAGGTGCTGGCAGTTTAGGGTGTTTTCCTGATATATGGTTTATTGCCACAATTATTTATCTGAGCTAAGCATATGTGAAGGTTCAGATGATCATGCCCTTAAGGAACCGTTAGTCTTCGTCAGGCTCCTGGAGCGGGACTGGCGTTGTGTTTACCAGGCCCCTCACAAACCTTGCCAGCTTTTTGTTTGTCTACTGCTTCAGTCAACACTCATTCCAACTGCTGATTGCTGGGGTGGAGGAAGATGATGCCAGGTCACCTTTGCCCATCAATTTCTGCATGTGTGCATGTAGTAAGGGTTGCTGTTAATGAGTAGTGTTGGGAAAATTCAGATAAATCCTGGTAGAAAAGTGTTGCTTATATGTGCCTTCATGTTATAAAATCAAACCTGCACCTCTTTCTCAGAAAGCAGCAGAATTCCAAGCCAGGTTACAGTTTAGCATTGGTGTCACTTTAAGAAGATGGGATTCTTAGCTCGACTGAGAAGCTGCTCTAGGCTAACAGGATCAGTCTGGAAATCTGGTGCTTCCATCAGCAGTAGAGAGTGGAGACAAAGATGTCCATTTATTTCTGAACGGACCCATCTGATCATCTAGCTCAACAGAGGCAAGTGCCTGCACAAGGTAGTTGTCAAATCAGTTTTTCTGAATGGTTCCCCAGTCAGACACATTTGCATGTTTAAGCAGACACAGAGGCTGATCCACCTGTTAGGAATTCACTGAACTGACTTGTCAATAAGGGTCAATCAGGGAAATTTTCTATTTTATTGTCATGGGCATTTCTGATCGGCTTAGAGTATTGTTTTGTGTATGAAGCGATCAAGATGGTGTCATGTTGACTTTATCTGTAAACCTAATACTCTGTACATGACTGGAAGGTTATAAACACATCTGTACATTGGCACCGATTTTGTAGCTGGCAGTGGAGACCACTACCTTTTAGCATGCTGTCGTAAGTAACTGCAGGGGGCCTGGGTGACGCTTGGGGTCAAGACAATTCAGTCTTTCCTGCAGGTCCATTGGTAAAGAGGCTCTGACAATTAGCCACCCTGGGGAGTTTCTGCACAGTACCAGGGAAAGAAGTCTGGAGGGTACAAGAGAGCCAGATTAAGGCTTGATCTTTGCATTCCTACCTACAGGGAACTCCCCCATGGTAACTTCCCTTAAGTGGGAACCAGGGCATGACTTCCTTCCAAAGCCTCTTTGCCATCACTTAAATATTTAGAGTTAGCACCCGCTTCTTCCTCAGGTTTTAAAAGGGGCTATTTTCTGGGCAGCCTGCCTAGGTCACTCCAGTCTGCTGTAGGCTAACAGGATCAGTCTGGAAATCCGGTGGCAGTAGAAACCAGTAGAAACTCCCCCTTTTCCTGGGGAGATTCTCCAGATTAACCCCAATCCCACAGCAGAGCATTAAAATGCAAAGAAACTGTCTTTTCATTATATGCTTTGTCCAATTCTTTGGTCCATGTGTTTCCTTTGTTCTGTCTACCTCCCACTCACCCTGTGGCCAGTGACTGATTTTAGAATGCTAACTCCTTGCAGGTCATGGTTCCTCCTCCTCTTCCTCTTTGTCCACCCCATTCTTTTTTCCTTCTTCTTTATCAGTATTTGGAGGCAAAGGAACTAAACAATCTGAAAGAAGAACATCCAGGAGCAAACAAAACAACAGGTCTTACCATGTGCACGGTCCCTCCTTTGAGCAGCTGCTTCTCAAGGAAATGGGCTGGTTCATTCCTCCATTCCTTTCCTCTGGTTATCCCTCTTCCAGGCTGCTCTGAACATGCTCACACGGTGCCAGTCGCTGGGATTTGCCAAAGAGGAGATCCTCTGCACTGCAGTGCATCCTGGGTGGTTAAGGACAGACATGGGAATCCCTCCGGTAGGTGACTCTTGAGAATCTTCTTCCCAGAAGCGATTGCGCTACTTGGGTCAATATCCAAACGGGACTGCAAATTGATAATAGGCTTAATCGGAACATGATTTCAAGCATTCCCAAGTTCCTTCATGGCCCCTTCCATGATTCGATGATGTTAAAAGCGGATCTGTACAGAGGACAGGATTCTCTCCACCAGTTCAGGGGCCAAGCGAGAAAGCAAATGATGGCCCAGCAGTGCCGACCAGCAATGTGCCATCGTTTGCTTGAACTCACTGCAATTCTGGATTCACAGGCAAAGGTCAGTTATTTAGGGTTCTGTCAGCAAGATGTTCTGTTCAGCGAAGGTTGAAAATAAAATAAATTTCCAAGAAGCTCAGAATGTGCAAAGATAAGCCTGGAGCAAGATGTTTTGATAGCAGATGTGTAGGCTAATATAACCATGTACAAAACAGAATGAAACAGAATATTTTGTGCTATGATGTTTTTCAGTACAAACATCTAGATGAAAATATTTCCTGTGCATGATGACCATGGCAGCTGGTTTTGATTGGAATAAAGAGCCTTTTAAATATAAAATTACTTGCTGGTGCTGCCTGTGTTTCTCACAGTTAGACAATGAACAAGAGGAACTTCTTTTTTTGTCTTCAACATTTTCCACGAAATGGCGAAGCTGCACCAGTGGAGTTTCTGTCTCCTGACCAGCATTTCAGGCTTGACCCCTTTGCTTGGTGCAGGAGGGCATCACCCCATTACCACAAAGCAGGGCTGTGCTCCCCCATCCCCAAAGTGCCCCTCTCCAAAGGGTTTGGACACTGCAACATGGCGAGCTACTCCTGTGAGGAAGGGGCCCCCGAATGGC